GGTTATTCTAGTTTAGTTAATATCATTGGTTGGTCTAGTTTAGTTAATATCATTGGTTGGTCTAGTTTAGTTAATATCATTTGTTAGTCTAGTTTAGTTAATATCATTGGTTATTTAAATTTAGTTAATATCAATGGTTAGTCTAGTTTAATTAATATCATTGGTTATTTAAATTTAGTTAATATCATTGGTTAGTCTAGTTTAGTTAATATCATTGATTAGTCTAGTTTAGTTAATATCATTGGTTAGTCTAGTTTAGTTAATATCAATGGTTAGTCTAGTTTAGTTTATATCATTGGTTAGTCTTGTTTAGTTAATATCATTGGTTATTCTAGTTTAGTTAATATCATTGGTTAGTCTAGTTTAGTTAATATCAGTGGTTATTCTAGTTTAGTTAATATCATTGGTTAGTCTAGTTTAGTTAATATCATTGGTTAGTCTAGTTTAGTTAATATCAGTGGTTATTCAAGCTTAGTTAATATCATTGGTTAGTCTAGTTTAGTTAATATCAGTGGTTATTCAAGTTTAGTTAATATCATTGGTTAGTTTAGTTTAGTTATTCTCATATTTTTGTTCATGTTTGGTTATTCTCATTGTTTGGGTATTCTCAATGTTTAGTATTTAGTTATTCTCATTGTTTGGTCAGGTTTGGTTACTCTCATTTCATGTTTGGTTATTCTCATTGTTTGGTGATGATTGGTTATGTTTGGTTATTCGCATTGTCTGGTCAAATTTGGTCATTCTCATTTTTTGATCAAGTGTGGTTATCCTCATTGTTTGGACAAATTAGGTTGTTCTCATTGTTTGATCAAGTTTAGTTATTTTCTTTATATGGTCAAGGTTTGGACTTGATAATTCTTTGGTTAGTCGTTTAGTTTTGAAATTGGTTATTCGTAACTTTTAGTCAAGTTTTTGACTTGGATATTCACAACGTTTGGTCAGGTTTTTGAGTTGGTTATTCACATGGTTTAGTTCAGTTTTTGAGTTGGTTATTCACAGCGTTTTGACAAGTTTTGAACATAGTTCTTGACATCGTTTGTCAAGTTTTTGACATGGCTATATATTCACAGCGTTTTGTCAAGTGTTTGACTTGGTTCTCCACATTCACATTGTTAAGTTCAATTTTTGACATGGCTATTCACATCGTTTAGTCAAGTTTTTGACTTGGTTATCAACAGCGTTTAGTACAGTTTTTGACTTGGTTATTCACATCGTTAAGTTCAGTTTTTGACATGGTTATTCACATCGTTTAGTCAAGTTTTTGACATGGATATTCAAAGCGTTTTGTAAAGTTTTTCACATCGTTTAATCAAGTTTTTGACATTGTTATTCACAGTGTTTTGCCAAGTTTTCACATTGTTTAGTTTTTTACTTGATTCTACAAATGATTCTTCACAGCGTTTGTCTAGTTTCCCCAATTATGATTATTATTTTCTCATAGTTAAGAAAAGTTTTGGCTTTGCTATCTTCAGCGTTTGTTCTAGGTTAGTTTTGGCAATTCTCATATCATCACCCGGTCATGTTTTGGACTTTTGGTCTGTTATTGTTATCGTTTTCTTTATCACATTGGGGCTTATCTTCACCTACCTTTTCGATATACAACGCGGTTACGATTTTAGAAAATGATTTTCAAAAAAATGTAAACATTATTGAGATAACTGATGAAGATGTCTTGAATCAATTAGTCCTCTTCAATACCTTTTGACGTGTAAACGTAAGAAAATGAAATATATAAGTCAAAGGAATAAATCGGAAATTACTAATTAATAAATAAAATCAGTCTTATTTAAACATTCTCAAAAAATGTTCAGTTACTTTACTGAAAACTATTTCAACATTCAACATATTTGAGAAATATTTTTTAAATCAGTTTTATTTACCAAACATGTAACTATTATTCCATATATTCTGTGTTTTTTTGAGTAAATTGAGTTGGTAGAGTAATTACTGTAAGATGTTGTGTTAAAACAAGAGACTATTTCTTTTTACAATAATGTTGTTTATAGTTAAAAGAAATATTACGCTTAAACTTACAAATCACCTGATGCTACTCTATGATAGAGATAGTCAAGTTCGATATACGTTGAGACTTGGTATTTGAAGTGTCCGAGATCTTCAGTCTGAGCTCGTGTAATATAAAAGTTAATTGATTCAATATAAAAACAAATCAATTATCACTGTCTGATTACAGTTGTTAATATTTTGTCAGAAGATCCGTTAGAAGCTGACATTAATGTTCTATTTCCTTCTGCCTCGGCCTCAATGCCAGGAATATTCTACTGGAAATTAGTCTAATACTTCACCAACATTGACAGCTTTGAACTTTCTTACATTAGTTGATAAGATTTTTATTGGAATGAAGCTTTTGGTTTTGTCTGTAAAACTTGTGATTTGAACCACAGGACACAATATTCCAATAATTTAAAAAAAAATATCGTTAAACAGAGAATCTCTGCAGGAAACATCTATATTTACGTGATCTGTATTCGAAATGATGGAAAAAACGCAGATGTTTAAGATTGTAAAAATGAACATTAAGTACTGCTAAATAATTTATTGATGGTTTTATAGGTTTTTAAAGTTCAGTATTGAATATTGAATAATTATTAAACGCCTATTATTATTGTATAATCGACTGTTCCACATAAAATAAGCTACTGACTGGGAATTTGGAATAAAAGATAAAGGAATCGATTGGAACTTGTTTGTAGTGTTGTGACAGAACTATTTTATATCCGTCAACGAATCTGTCAAGTTGCGATCGTGTTCCCATTCTGTGATTGTGCCACATACAGAGTCATGCCTTTGGATTTCATTCGATTGGAAATGAGTGTAAAATTATCTTTGTGCTCTTAGTTATTTAAAGTTTCTGACTTTCTGTGTTAAAAAAAAAAAAACAAAACAAAAGAAAACGCCTCAAACACTTTGTCAACATCTTATCTACTAAGAGTCTAAATAAACTAAATTTGCAGTAGTGTAACAAATATGTTCTGTACATGATTTTACAAGCAGTATTTGTCACTTGATGATTGTATTTATTACAATCTGATACAATCTGATATTAGTTCTGCATGGATGGTGAATCGAGAAGCTTACTATCAGATTCATGTGTAATTCTCAACTTTACAAATAACACATATCTTGTCGTGATTGAGATGTTGCCGAGTGTCTATTCATTAACAAGTACGCTATAAAAAATATGTTCTTTAATGAAATCAATGCCTGACACAATCCAGTAGTTTCTCTTACAAATATGTTTGAATAATAACTATCCTTTAATACTTTATTTCTCAAGACAGAGACAAGACAACGGGACTGTCAGATTAGGATTATTATATCATCTACACTTATAGCCACGGACACATTTCACTACTACATCAATGATTGTGTTGGCTTTATAAATTTGTTTTGTGGTTTGTGTCTTGGATAATATGTCTGTTGTCTTCTGATTACATCTGCTCACTTTGTACTTTGACTATAAACATATTATGTGGCAGATGCTATTCTTCCAAATAAGCTCACACATCCCTGTAGACACAGTATGTCTTATTTAGCAGAGATGTAAAATTAGAGATATCTTGAAACCTGATCAAGATTAACTACACAGGATTATTTCTCGAACAAAGTAAACGTCAGAAACCGCCAATAGTAATTATATTTTTGAACAGGCTTTTTATGTGAACACAGTGTTTTTGCATCTGAGACAATTGAAATATACAGATTGATCTGGGAATATTAGATAAACCACGCAGAACTTGCTTCTGATCAAGTAACACATCTGGACACGCCGATAGTATTTTAACAGAAAGATCAAGTTATTGATTACGGAGAGGGGAATGCCAAAGTCCTGTACTCTCATATAAAAACAAAACCGAGAACCTATTTGTGCAGTAGCCGATTTGAATAAAATTGACAAAATGTTCCACCTTCTTCATGAATTGGTTTTTAAGAACATGCTTACCAATATAACTATCAAGAATTGGCCAGAGAATCAAACCACGTACCCGCTCTACAACACGTCATATCCGAATATTGAAGGTCGTGACAATTATGAGCAGGTATGTCATATTATGGATTTTAAATATTTTAAAACTGTTTTTGATGCCAGCCTGGCGCCAAAACTCGTACCACATCAATAGGTTGTTTGAAGCAAGATCATACGTTTTCTGAAACTGATTTTAAGAAGTATTAATCGTTGACGATATTCACAAAGAACTGCACCTAAAAGCCACAGTACTGTGACACAAAAGTGGTAATTTGAAGGTTTCACTACGTTTTCTTATCAAGATATCGACTCAAGTCTTTAAACATTTGTAGTCGGGAGTCCTAAAGACGTTATAATGTAGATTGCCTCCCTTGCGCTTGTCTAATCGTCCCTATCCACCTTCTCAATTCAAATAACAAAAATGGTTCAGTAATCATGAACAACGCTGCTCACCAATCTTCGGTTTTATCTTGGAATGTGTCACCATGGAATAGGTCCAACACAATAGCTAACTGATGACCATACATGCATTTAGCGTTTCGTCTCCGACCACAGTAAGCGCAGAGCTAAACTTTTGTCTGTCATTTCATATCAATTGCATATCATAAGAAAATTTTACAAATGTAAAGTTTGGTGACTTTACTTTGTTACTTGCATACAAAAAATATTGCCAAATCAGATCCTGTCAACACTGTGATCAGACCATTCACTGGGTAGTTTTTACGAGACAATAACCAGACTCATGTGCTACAGTCTCAATTTGGTAAATTTTCAAAATCGACAGAGAGGCAAAAATTTTACCCTTGTCTTGTAAGCCCAATCAAGAGCCAAAAGTAAATAATTTCACGTTTGAATAATTAAATATCTTCAGATTGTTGAATAAGTATTTATAGACATGGTACCTTTGTTCTTACACCACATTGTATTTTTCATTAACTCCATAAGATTTATTTTATAGATATTGGATGAATTCCAAGAAGACAGTGTACATTCAGATGGGGTCAAAGTTATCTGTCTCCTGATTCTATATATACCAATATTTCTACTAGCTGTATTGGGCAACTCCTCTGTACTTATGATAATACTCTGGCATCCACCGTTAAGAACGATAACTAATCTATTTCTGGTGAATTTAGCCATGGCTGACTTTTCAGGTTAGCATACTTTTAAAAATTTATATATTTTCATGTTTAACATCGTTTGCTTTGAACATATTCCCTTTCAAACACATTAGATAAAATTATTACACACATTCAGACTCTAATAAAAGTATTTTCACAAAACCTTCTACTTACGATATATTACGACTCTTTTTGTAGAAAATAACAAAAAATCTTTTGCATTATTGAGCCCTGGGATGTCTTATCTCATTTAACACTGCGAGATAAATGTTTTGTTGGGATGAGTACAGCACATATTTGCATAGTTTATAATATTTATTGTATACAAAGAAAATTCGTACAAAATTCAATCAGCTCTGTATTTAACCATATTCAGACAAGTATAATTATTAAAGTCCTACACAGTAAATGGTAAGCTAACATGTTGAATATAATCTTTCTTACTTTGTTATTGCCGGTCTTATGTCTCACCTGGTTAGAAGCATTATTACAGGATTTAGGTCTAAATATTAATAGGACAATTTTGTGTTTTTAATCGTTGACACCAAATCTTCTTACACAACGGATCTTCGATCTCATATCTGGTCTGAGTCTCAGGAGTCTTTAGTAGTTTTCACCGTTATATTTTCGTGAAATTCTCGTCAGAGTAGAATATTTCTCTAACAATCACTATGAATATAATTGAGCAATTGATCTTCATTGTACGGCATTCTCTAACCGGTTTTACCGAAGAGTGCTCCGAGGAGGCATGCTCTATTGTTTTTAAAGAATTGTAGAAATGTGGATATACTAAACGGTTCCTTCGAAAGATGAAGAATTTAACGATTTGTGAAATGAAAGCCAAGTTAGATGTCTCTACCACCATCGACCTCTCTGCAAATACCACACCCTGTTTCAAAACTTCGTCTGCCCTTTTTTTAATTCAACTCGTCTTTTCACGAACACCTCAAATAATGCCAAATTTCCAATAACAGAAAACCTTTCGTGTGACAGCAGCAATGTTATATACCTTATATCATTTATTCTGTCTTAAACAATATATTGGTGAAACAAAAAACAAATTAAGAAAACGATTCGATGTTCATAGATTCGATATAAATCATAATTTTGACAAATCTGTTGCTAAACAGTTTAACCATTCAGATCACACTATAAATAATGTCCATACCAATTACATGTATCAAGGAACTGTACAGGGAACTCCAACAAAAATTCCCTAATATATTTCAAAAAGATTTAGTTATTGCTTTTAAATGCAATACGAATCTTTATGATATTTTAGTCCTTGGTAGACTTAAACCCATAGCTCCATTGAACTTTAATATCAATATTTGTCATCATATATATATATTTGTTTTTTTATATACAGAGTATTGGTTCCTCTCCATTTTAATTCAATACTCTCTCTTTAGTTCATAGGTTGTTGGTTACAGAAACAGAAAACGACAAACTTTATTCACATTAATATATATACTCTATTATTTTAGAATCATTCAATTTATAATAAGTATTACTTTATAATTTAATTTCACGTTGATGAAGCTGAATTTTCACTTCGGCCTGTGCTTTCGTAACTTCAATTATATGTTGTTGTTACAGCGCTGTTCATATACTTTCCTGCAAGGTTTCTCAACTAGACATTCCTTTCGACCAGTTCAGAGTATATTGCTCTATCTAACATTGCGGATTCAGCATACAAGGTTTTATGTTACATATCCCCCTGACGCACGGAGAAAATCTTCTTTGTTTTGTATCTGAGGTGTGAGAACTAAAAAAATGCTTTTGATAAAAAATTGGTAGGGTAGGATTTGGTGGATATTCTCCACCTGGAGTAACGACCATTTTCATTTTATTGATTTACCGTAAATATAAGAAGACGATTTTAACAACGTGAAGGATTTGATATGTTATGCGAGACAACCTATAATAAAATACACGAGATTTTCTCGACGTGAAGACACGGAAACAAATACTGTCAAACTTCAGCATTTTGAAATAGGTCAGTTGTCTGAACATCGCATAGATTACCACATGTTTAGGGTTGGTTTTAATATTTCTATATCGATCTACAATAATTATTGCATCAACAATATTTTAACAACGAAAAAATTTTGTCGTGAGATTTTAGCAAACGACAATTATAAACATACTTGAAGAAACACAATAGAATGTAAAATCTTAATTCTGGAACATTCCCCAAGGATTGTGACCATTGTTGGCTCTCACTGACATCGGCAGACAGCGTTTAATACATGTTATCGATTTATACACTGTAAATTATATATTATGTACGTTAAATATCTCATGGACAATTGACAACATACGAGACGAGGAACGATGCTCTAATAACAAGTGGAGTTTGATTATTGTCAAAGTCGTTACCTCATTCAAATGTATACTACCTCTAAGGATGACAAATATTTAAACTTGGCCTCAATGAGTCTTTGAGTCTAGTGGACTTACTTGATGTCAAAAATATACGACAGAACCCCACTATAATCCAATAAATCCATAAAACTGAGTACTAATCCACCAGAAGTATGCTTAAAAGCAATTGCTTAGTTAAATGGAAATATATCGTCTTATATAGAAATCCTATTCTTTTGCACCTAATAATTCCAACTGATGATTATAAAATCTTGTTGACCATGTTTGAGACATTGTGCATTCAGGCACAAATTTTGGAGAAAAGTATAAAAATCATATTTCAAAATTGTTAGAAATTAAGTGAGGAAGCAACTGGGGCTACCAACTATTTTTCCTCATTGTACCCCAGCGATACATTTAAAGAATGCATTGATCTTTCCCGGATTATTCATTTACTGTTGGATCGATCGAATAATATCCTAAATCAAAATGAGAGAAAAATAACCTTTCTGAAGGTATAAAGATGAAATTAAGTTTGAGTTGCGGGTTTATCACGATCTGTGCACATCTCACTCATAGGTTTTATATCATTAACAAACTGCATTTGCCTTTGTACAGTATCAGAAACATGAGATTATGACTGAATATGTTTATATAATTTACAGAAATAGATTACAGTGCTGTCTTTTGTATAAGGCAACTGTCAACATACACTAAGATGGTTCGACTTGGTGTCGCTATCTCGTTTATAGGAGCCCTGCAGTTTAACTTCCTTAGCAAAAAGCCTTTAATGCTTAATACATTTAACGTAGTGCTAAGCTTTTTAATCGACATTCAAATCTTGAATTATATATCAACTCATCTGTTACTTGATATTTGTGTACATGATATGGTTGTATCTTTAATCTGTTCTCTGATATCACCAATGTTTGAATATCGTATTGTTTTGTGTTGAAGATTACAGTTTTGAGATTCAAATATCACAAAATTAGAACCACAATGTCATTCAAGTCACAGTAATCATTGTCTGATAACAGTTAAAGTTTCGGTGTTGGCTAATTTATCATTCTCCAGGGAAAAATTTACATTGAAGTAAACAGTTCTTCCGCGTGTTGATTTCATCATTAAGTTTTAAATAGCCTTAGATTTATCTTGGATACTTTACAAATGAATCGCCTATGTCTGATGACCTATCAAAAACTTATAATTTGAAATTCATTCTAGAATCAGTAACGATCAACTGACTATTTTTATTTAATAAAAAGAGACTCAGGGGTTTGCCGTAGACTATCGTAAATGTCATAAGCAGCTATGACATTCAATTGAATAATTGCTATTGTGTAAGCATGCATATTTGCAAATGTATTGAGAGATCACGAAACAATATTTTCTATGAAATTTTGTGGATTGGGGAAAATACACTTTTAAAGGATTACACAAATCGATAAAATTGGAGAAAATCAATAATACAATAAAGACTACGTTATCTGCTGGTTGATAAATATTATCAGCACATATGGTTAAGTTATTGGATGTTTATAACTTAGTTATATTTTAGCCCAGAGCAATGAGGCTGTTGATCACTTCACGTGCAATCAAGCAAATATATTGATACACCAAAAAGAATATTCAAATGTTCCAAAACGCTAGTTGTAATCCTACAATGCCATCACGTACGTTCTAACAACGGACTTAAACAGAACTATATCTGTATTGGATTGAAGCAAAACTCTTCGTATTTATCATATTAATTAGAGTTGAAATGACACGCGCTTACAGGAGACTAATTAATGAAAATAGACTCAAAGAAGAAGTCATACAGTTCAGAAAATGGCAGCGATTCCTAAATTATCGGACATCCTAAATGATGGCGTCATTGAATCGATCTGTTATTAATCGAGAAAGACTTTCCATTGGAACTGTGACGTCAAGAGTATACCTTGTTTAGTTTTCTGTTCATGTGTATGGAAAGGTTAACAAATCTAATCAGATCGTAGAAAGAAAATCTCTGGAATATTCTGTGCTTTTTAATGAACGACGTGGTCAATACAGTCTCACCAGCAGTTACTGCAGGAATCATCTCTCATACAGAAGCATCATTAACTTTCACAACGGGCGAGGTCAGAGTCCGTCCATCTTTTTCATATGAACTTCTTATTACAGTAATGGTGATATTGAACCATATTCTTCTTACAAATTGATATCAACTTAGTTCAGAAGAAAGTTGTGTTCTGGTAGTATTTTGTTGCTAGACGGTGAATTGTCTAATCCTTTGTGATGTATTTGACTGATAACTTATTCTATTGGACTCAATTGCATTATTACCACATCGTCGTGAGTGATTTATTTTAGACTTTACAACACGTTTTTTAGATTGAAAAAATGATATTTACTATTGACGTCAATAAGGACAAAATCTCAAGAGTTTAAATGTGTGTACAGTTATATTTTATCGAGTATATACCTTCGTTTTTTTTCAATCATACAGTTAATGGAACTTTTTACTCCAAATCATCAATTCCGGATAACAAAAATTATTATTCGCAATTGACTGTAATAATTGGTACAAAGAAAGTTGACATGTAATAGGCACACACCTATCAACTTAGAAATGAACCATAAGCTGAAAAAATAAAGGTTTGTCAAAGTATAGGGGTGGATTATTG